AAAGCAAAAGAATTCTAAATTCTTCTTTATACTCGTGGTGCCAGTAGCTCAGTGGGTAGGGCGCTGGCCACATACACACAGGCTGGTGGGTTCAACTAAACATCAATGACAACTGCAACAAAAAATAGCCAGACATTGTGGCAGGCACCTGTAGTCTCAGCTACTTGGGAGGCAGAGACAAGAGAATCACTTTAGACCGAGAGTTTGAGGTTGCTGTGAGCTGTAACACAATGGCACTCTACTGAGGGTGATAGTAAGACTTTGTCTCAATAAAAAAATAAATAATAAAGGCTTGGCGCCTATAACTCAAGCAGCTAAGACACGAGCCACATACACCAGGACGGGAGGGTTCAAATCCAGCCCAGGCCTGCCAAACAACGACAACTACAACCAAAAAATAGCCGGGTGTTGTGGCAGGCACCTGTAACAGTCCCAGCTACTTGGGAGGCTGAGGCAAGAGAAATGCTTAAGCCCGGGAGTTGGAGGTTGCTGTGAGATGCCAGGGTAACAGCTTGAGGCTCTGTCTCAATAAATAAATAAATAAATAAATTCTTCTTTATAGGGAGGATATCAATACTGATTATATTTTGTTAAGAAAATATAAATTTAAGAATTGTGTTGAAATGTAAAGTCAATCTACTACTAAGAGACTCTGTCTCTAAAAAAAATATATATACAAAAAATACAAAGGAAAGCACTGTCAATAAGATGACAAGAGTAAGGCCAAATACATTAATAATCACAATAAAGGTAAATATGTTCTCCTTATCTAGGACAGGACAGACTCTCAGACTGAGTCACACCTCACTATGATTTCTGTCTTCCTTGCTCCTTTGAGACAGGTTCTCCCTTTTTTGCCCAGGCTGGAGTGCAGTGGTGAGATCATAGCTCACTGTAGCCTCAAACTACTGGCCTTTTGGGACTTCCCTACTCAGTCTCCCAAGTAGCTGAGACTACAGGCATGCACCACTATGCCTGGCTTATTTTTTTGTTTTTCTGTAGAGATAGGTTCTCACTATGTTGCCCGGGTTGGCCTCAAAATTCCCCGCCTCAAGCAATCTTTCTGCTTCCACCTGCCAAAGACCTGGGATTACAGGCATGAGTCACCACACCTGTCCTAGTGGTATTTTAAAATAAGAGAACCATGTAAATAATATAAAATGTCCTTCATGATCAGATCCTTGGCATAGAAGGGGACTTTTCTCAAATTGATAGAGGCCATCTACAGCAAACCCACAGCCAATATTATATTGAATGGAATTAAACTGAAATCATTTTCACTCAGATCGGGAACCAGGCAAGGTCTCCATTGCTCTTTAACATTGTAATGGAAGTTTTAGCCATCACAATCAGGGAAGAAAAGGCAATCAAGGGTATCCACATAGGATAAGAAGAGATCAAACTTTCATTCTTCGCAGATGATATTATTATATACCTGGAAAATACCAGGGACTCTATTACAAAACTCTTAGAAGTGATCAAGGAATACAGCAGTGTCTCAGGTTACAAAATTAACACCCATAAGTCGGTAGCCTTTATATATACCAACAATAGTCAAGCCGAAAAAATAGTCAAGAACTCTATTCCGTTCACAGTAGTGTCAAAGAAGATGAAATATTTGGGAGTTTACCTAACAAAGGATGTGAAAGATCTCTATAAAGAGAACTATGAAACTCTAAGAAAAGAAATAGCTGAAAACGTTAACAAATGGAAAAACATACCATGCTCATGGCTGGGAAAAAGTAACATTGTTAAAATTTCTATATTACCTAAAGCAATATATAATTTTAATGCAATCCCTATTAAAGTTCCATTGTCACACTTTAAAGATCTCGAAAAAATAATACTTCGTTTTATATGGAATCAGAAAAAACCTCGAATAGCCAAGGCATTACTCAGAAACAAAAACAAAGCAGGAGGAATCACACTACCAGACATGAGACTATACTATAAATCCATAGTGATCAAAACAGCATGGTATTGGCACAAAAACAGAGAGGTAGATGTATGGAACAGAATAGAGAACCAAGAGATGAACCCAGCTACTTACTGCTATATGATCTTTGACAAGCCAATTAAAAACATTGAGTGGGGAAAAGATTCCCTATTTAACAAATGGTGCTGAACGAACTGACTGGCGACCTGCAGAATGAAACTGGACCCACACCTTTCACCACTAAGATAGACTCTCACTGGATTAAAGATTTAAATTTAAGACATGAAACCATAAAAACACTAGAAGAAAGTGTAGAGAAAACTCTTGAAGAAATTGGCCTGGGTGAATATTTTATGAGAAGGACCCCCCGGGCAATTGAAGCAACTTCAAAAATACATTACTGGGACCTTCTCAAATTAATAAGTTTCTGCACAGCCAAGGACACAGTAAGAAAAGCAAGTAGACAACCCTCAGAATGGGAGAAGATATTTGCTGGTTATGTCTCTGACAAAGGCTTAATAACCAGAATCCACAGACAACTCAAACATGTTAGCAAGAAGAGAACAAGTGATCCCATCTCAGGGTGGGCAAGGAAGGGACTTGAAGAGAAACTTCTTTGAAGAAGACAGACACATGCCCTACAGATACACGAAAAAATGCTCACCATCCTTGATCATCAGAGAAATGCAAATCCAAACTACTTTGAGATATCATCTAACACAAGTAAGATTAGCCCATATCACAAAATCCCAAAATCACAGATACTGGAGTGGCTGTGGAGAAAAGGGAACACTTTTACACTGCTGGTGGGACAGCAAACTAATACGTCCCTTTTGGAAAGTCATCTGGAGAACACTTAGAGAACTAAAAATAGATCTGCCATTAGACCCTATAATTCCTTGCCTAGGTATATATCGAGAAGACCAAAAATCATGCTACAATACAGATATTTGTACCAGAATGTTCATTGCAGCCCAATTCATAATTGCTAGGTCATTGCCCAAGTGCCCATTGACCCATGAATAGATCAATAAATTATGGTATATGTACACCATGGAATACTACGCAGCCATAAAGATGGAGACTTTACCTCCTTCATGTTTACATGGATGGAGCTAGAAAATATCCTTCTTAGCAAAGTATTTCAAGAATGGAAGAAAAAGTAGCCAATGTACTCAACCCTATTATGAAACTAATTTTTAGCTATCATAGGAAAGCCATAACCCAGTTTCAGCCTAAGAATACAGGGAAAGGGAAGAGGGAGGGGAGGGGACAGGGGAGGATGGGTGGAGGGAGGTTGATTGCTGGGATCATGCCTAGGATTTATCCTATAAGGGTACATGTGAATCTTTCTACATGTGGAATATAAATGTCTTAACACAATAACTATGAGAATGACATGAAAGCTATGTTGGCCAATTGGATGAAAGTATTTCAAATTGTATGTGGAAATAACACATTGTACCCCATGAAAGTATCAATGTACACAACTATGATTTAATAAAAAAAAATAATAATATAAAATGTTAAAGAAAGGTTCAGCATGAAGCAATGTGAAAAAAAAAAAAAAAACACCAGCAAATATAACAAACATCCGTATCAAACAAGAGTTTGGCTAGGCACAGTGGCTCACCTTGCAATCCCAGCACCCTGGAAGGCCAAGGTGGGTAGCTCCCTTGAGCTCAGGAGAGACTAACCTGAGCAATAGGGAGACCCCATCTATACTAAAAATAGAAAAACTAGCCAGGCGTCAGGGCAGACACCTGCAATCCCAGCTCCTCAGGAGGCTGAGACAAGAGGATCGCTTAAGCCCAAGAGTT